CATTGCATATGGTACATGTACTACATTGCATATGGTACATGTACTACATTACATATGGTACATGTACTACATTACATATGGTACATGTACTACATTACATATGGTACATGTTACATTATCATTATGGTACATGTACTACATTGCATATGGTACATGTACTACATTGCATATGGTACATGTACTACATTACATATGGTACATATACATTACATATGGTACATGTCTACATACTATGGTACATATAATATGGTACATTATACTTTACATATGGTACATATGTACTACATTACATATGGTACATGTACTACATTACATATGGTTCATGTACTACATTACATATGGTACATGTACTACATTACATATGGTACATGTACTACATTACATATGGTACATGTACTACATTGCATATGGTACATGTACTACATTGCATATGGTACATGTACTACATTGCATATGGTACATGTACTACATTACATATGGTACATATACATTACATATGGTACATGTATACTACATTACATATGGTTAATGTTACTACATTACATATGGTACATGTACTACATTACATATGGTTCATGTACTACATTACATATGGTACATGTACTACATTACATATGGTACATGTACTACATTACATATGGTACATATACATTACATATGGTACATGTACTACATTACATATGGTACATGTACTACATTACATATGGTTATGTACTAAATTACATATGGTATCATGTACTACATTACATATGGTTCATGTACTACATTACATATGGTACATGTTACTACATTTTACATTATGGTTACATGTACATTACATATGGTACATGTACTACATTGCATATGGTACATGTACTACATTACATTAATGGTACATGTACTAACATTACATATGGTACATGTACTACATTGCATATGGTACATGTACTTCATTGCATTTGGTACATGTACTTCATTGCATTTGGTACATGTACTTCATTGCATATGGTATATGTAACTACTTGCATATGGTACATTGTACTACATTGCATATGGTACATGTACTACATTTACATATGGTACATGTACTACATTACATATGGTACATGTACTACATTACATATGGTTCATGTACTACATTACATATGGTACATGTACTACATTACATATGGTACATGTACTACATTACATATGGTACATGTACTACATTACATATGGTACATGTACTACATTACATATGGTACATGTACTACATTACATATGGTACATGTACTACATTACATATGGTACATGTACATTACATATGGTACATGTACTACATTACATATGGTACATGTACTACATTACATATGGTACATGTACTACATTACATATGGTACATGTACTACATTACATATGGTACATGTACTTACATTACATATGGTACATGTACTACAGTTAATATGGTACATGTACTACTATTACATATGGTACATGTACTACATTTACATATGGTACATGTACTACATTACATATGGTACATGTACTAATTACATATGGTACATGTACTACATTTACATATGTACATGTACTACATTACATATGGTACATGTACTTCATTGCATATTAGTACATGCACTGTGTTGTATTATAGTACATGTACTTATCTGCATTATATAGTACATGCAACGTGTGTATATAGTACATGTACTTATAATTACATTAAGTACATGTACTGTGTTATATATAGTACATGTACTATATTACATATAGTACATGTACTGTGTTATATATAGTACATGTACTATATTACATATAGTACATGTACTATATTTCATATAGTACATGTACTATATTTATTATAGCAATTGTATATATATTATAGTAATGTAGTATATATAGTACATATGCTATATATTTATACATATACTATATATACTACATACACTATATATACTACATATACTATATATACTACATATGCATACTATATATACTACATATACATACTATATATACTACATATACATACTACATATACTACATATACATATACTTACATATTATACATATACTCTTATATACATATATACATACTACATTATATTATATACATTACTATATATACTAGATATACATACTACATATACTATACTATATATACTACATATACTATATATACTATATATATAGTTCATACACCACATATATAGTATATATACTATATACATTCTACGTGTGCCACATGTATAGTACATGTGCCTCATATATAGTACACATACTTTATAGTACATATGTATAGTACTTATACTGTAGACAGTCATTTAACACAGTTATGTTCCTGAAAACGCTGTGTTTGGTAAAACCGTGTTGAGTGAACTGAAGAACTTTCGTTAAAAACAAGATCACGTTCCTGGGAGCCCCCAAAAAGCCAAAACTTTTTTATAGTCGAACAGATCTTACAAAAATAAAACTCGTTGTGTAATTGTAGGTCATTGTCTATGCATTTTGTTTTTACCTCTTGAGACTACAAATGCAACCTAAATAATATTTCTTACCTTAAATTGTGGGTGCTGGTGTTTGTGGACGACTGTGGAGAGTGGCCCCACTGGGCTGAGGTGGATGGTAGAGGTTCTGGTACTTGGTTGTACTCTAGTGTGCATAAATTCTGTAATGGATTTTTGTTCTATTTTTCCCAGCAGTACAATATAGAACTGATAGTAAGGCATCAGTTGCTCTAGACACTGTTTCAGGGTCCTCTTCAGTGAAAAATCTAAGCCAGTCAATAAGTCAGGTCAGTAAGTCAAGTCAATAAGTCAGTCTGTAAGCCAGTCAGTCATCACACAAACTCATAATTACCTCACATTCTTATGCGCTGACCCACAACAAGGCAGCAGCTTGAGCTGGGGAAATTTTTTTTCTGTGCCCACAAACGGAACCATGTAAAGTTAATTTTATGAAGTGTTGCATAGAATTGTGCTGCAATTTTTCAGTAGTGCTGCAATTTTTAAATTGTGATATAACCAAATCTTGCCGAATAAACTAGTGTTAAATGACTGCTATACTACATATGGTACACAGTATAAATGTTACATATAGCACATGTACTATATATAGCACATGTACTATATATAGCATGTACTATATATAGCATGTACTATATATAGCACATGTACTATATATAGCACATGTACTGTATATAGCACATGTACTGTATATAGCACATGTACTGTATATAGCACATGTACTGTATATAGCACATGTACTGTATATAGCACATGCACTGTATATAGCACATGCACTATATATAGCACATGCACTATATATAGCACATGCACTATATATAGCACATGCACCATATATAGCACATGCACCATATATAGCACATGCACCATATATAGCACATGCACCATATATAGCACATGCACCATATATAGCACATGCACCATATATAGCACATAGTGGAACCTTGACTTAGGGTTTAATCCATTCCGTGACCTAGCTCGTAACTCAATTTGCTCATATATCTAATAAATTTTCCTCGTTTAAATTAATTGAAATACCATTAACCGGTCCCAGTGGCAGGACAAAATATTTCAATATAACTATGGCTTATTTATCTATCACAGTTCATCTAATGTGACATAGTAAACAATATAATTAACAGAAACAGGGGTTGTCTTCTGCCCTGTGTATTTGTTCCTGCTTTGTTTCCCCCTCCCCTCGGTGTTCTTGCTCTTACCCTCTGTGGGCACCTAGCTCCCTTGCAGTGCTTTTCTTTCTTAGTATTTGACTGGCCCCTCCTACTCTTACTACCTCCCCAATACTACTACCTTCCCTCCACTACTACTACCACCACCACCTGCCTATATATACCCATCCTGCTCTCCTTTTCGTTAGTGTGACTTTGTAAATGGTCCAAGTCGGACCGAAGCGTCGTCGTAAGTTCCCCTCTTCTACGTGCGGGTTATTTGTGTATACAATTAGCTTTGTTTGATTGCTGAACTTAATACAGTTTACTTTAATTCCATGGAAATCATCCTCTATTTTCTTCTCAGCACTGTCCCTGACACTTATTTTCTTGGGACCCACGGTTAGAAAAAAGAAATTTGGCCAAATGACCATAAAAAATGCAAGCAAGCACGAGAGAAATGCTCCCACAGCAATGTAAACCATGTGGACTCCTTACTGGATGGGTCCTAAGAAACTAAGTGTAAAGGACAGTGCTGAGAAGAAAAAAGAAAGGACAATTTATATGGAATTAAAGCATGAAACCATAGATAAACAAGCAAGGTGTGCAGGTTTTGGGTTGAGGGGGAAGCAGGGGGAGCTGGCTCACAACTCAGAGCAAAAAATCAACCAAGCAACAGCTCGTATCTCAAAAAACGCGTATGTTGGGACCCTCTTAAGTCAAGGTCCCACTGTACATATACTACATATAATATATAGAGTACCTATACTGTATACGTATTGTTGTATTGTCACCTTCATACCATTTATAGCATATACTATATATACATATACATACATAGTACTATATACATGTTTATAGATGTTGATACAGTAGTGTATTGTATATTGCAATAAACATAATAGAGGAAATCAGCTCTAATATGCATACATTATTTAGGTATGCATGCTGGTCAGAGAGCTCATTATAAATCCAATTCATTGGTAAACGAGTACGTAATCAAGCGAGTAGAAGTGGTACTATCTTATGATTTATTTTATCAGTTGCAGAAGCCGTTATTAAAAATGTTTTGCCTCTTCATTCATTTTGTGATTGTCTTAGACTTTACTACATTCAATTAAAATTCATTTATATTATATTTTCTTTGTTACATAATTTGCATAAAATCTTCATTAAAAAAAAAAAAGAAATGTACATGTAAGAGATCATTAAGATCTGAACCCCAACTGCTGCATAAGAAGGGTTTTTAAATTTTTACCAACAAAAAAAAAAATGCAAGCCAGCAGTAAAGCAAATTTGTTTTATATTGAAACAATTTACTGAAAATAAAAGGTGAAGCAAAACAAAATCATAAACAATATCTAGATATATTATTTTAAAACAATACTATGTACAGGCATGTGACAAGTGATGTACTGTATATAAGCCAGACATCCTAGTTCAGGAATGAAAAAAAAAAAGGAAAAGATTTGGACATGCGTTTACAATGTCCCAATCTACTTCAAAAGAGCTTTCGTAAACCTCCCTAAATAGTTGGGACTCAACCAGCTTTCTCAGGATCAGTGCCTCGGTGGCCAAAGGTCAAGATTAATGGACTAAGTTATAATGAACAACTGTCAATTAATAAACAGCATGGTGGATGGGGAAACAAATCATGGCCTGCAGACTGACAGTCTGACACTACCGATCCATCTACCCAGTTCTCTAACAGGAAGGATTCTTAAGCAATACTGTTTAAGTAATACAACCCTTTGGAATAATAAGTATTACTTTTAAATCCTTCCTGTTACTGTATTATTCCAAAGGAACATAACAGGAAGGATTTAGAAGTAATGCTTACTGTATTATGCCAAAGGAATATAATACAGTATTAATTATTAATCCTTCCTGTTATAGGCCTGAGTAGCAGGATCAGTAGAGCATCAGTCTGCAGGCCATGGTTCGCTCCCCTCATCCACCATTCTGTTTATTCGTCAGGATTAATTTTTAAACAGTGAAAGGGAAACATTAAACCACATGCAGAAGATTTAAGCCTTACATTTTACAACTAACCCATTAACTGGAGGTTAAACTTGCACATGTCAGAGCACACTGGACCATGACTAAGTCATCAACAATGTGTTAATGCTCCAGAACAGACCAAAACAAATTTTATCTCCAATGGGCAAATTGTGAGGTGTTACAGCTGTGATATTCTGGCTTAAGTCTTAATCCTTCATACACTACTACATAATTGTGAATTTAAGCATCTGTGTAAATTCAACATTGTAAAAATTCTTTCATATGCCTTTTTTTTTTATTTTTGGGAAGTATTATGGTCGCAATGGAAGATGCTCAAAATAATCATTTAAACACTTAAATTTCTTTAATTTTATTATGCTTATTATTTTTTTTTTAAGCACAGAGGTCACCAGTGAGGCATAATTACAGTGGACAAGAGGTGTCCAAGGTGAGGGCGGAAGGACGAGAGGGAGAAGAGATTGAGGCACTGGCTCTGAGAAAACCGGGTCTTAATTCAACTTCACCACTACGCTATCCACAGTGAAGGATCTCCGGAAATGCAACAACAACAATGAAAAATTCCCAGGTGGAGCTAAAAAAAAAAAAATTACATGGGTAAGAATGACAAACAATGCTTAAGTTAAAAATATTCTTCAATTCAGAGGCTTTCTTGAGAGTCTGAAAAATATATACTTTTTAAAACTTACGACGTAACGTATAGTAATTTTGATCCAAACAGCCTTACAAGAAAGTCTTTGAATAATTCACAGTACTGTAAAACAAAATTAAAATGATGAAATATACAAAAAAAAAAAAAAATTAAATAAATTACATACTGTAATTGAATTAGGAATTAAAAAGTATAAATAAATCTGTATGCAAACCAAATACTGGTAACTATCAGTACAGGTATAAATTACATTAACTGTTTGGTCTAGCTTCTGCTCTCTCCCTACATAAATTTACCAACAGCAGCACAATATCAATGCTCAAAAGTTATTTATAGAAAATAAAATGTACAAGAAATTGCCTCGGTCAATAAAAAACACGTCTTTAATGCCTCGGTAAATGAAGAAAAAATTTCAATATGTACTTTTGGTTTCATACCACCTAGGAACATGGGGATGAACGTTAAGACAAATTTAAGCAAAGGCAATTGGGGACCAATTAAATCCAGTCATAAGAAGCTTTGGAAGCTACCCAGTGGCTTGAAACTCAGGGGGGGGGGGGGATTAATACAAAGCATCGTAAAAGAACAACTCACACAAACTATCTCTGCCACGCGTAAGCAGCATTACATTTCTCTGGCTTACATGTCAAATAATTAACATAAAAAGACTAACAAAATGGTGTATGGACAAGGAATGACAATTTCAATTGGTTTTCTTACAGATAAGCATGAAAATTTTGGGAAATTTTTATTGTGCTGTCGTCACCCCGAGGGGCACCACACATCAGATAGCAGGGAAATGTGAAAAATGACAGCCTGCAATACCAATCTGGAAAATGCAAAGCCTCCTTCTCATGCAACTTTTCTTCTAGGCACAAATATTTCATGCAAGCTAAAACATTACAACAAATATGAAAAATAATAAACACTGCATTCTTGAATATGGAGGAAACAAAATCTTTAAGCATCCAAACAATGTACACTATGTACACTTTGGCTTCAGTGGGCAAGCCTTAACATGGCGCGAGTCAAACCTGCAGATGGCAGAGATGAGCCACCTCGGTCAGGACCAGAGGCAGGTCACCATGCCAGCAGGTACTCACCCGGAGGCTGTGGAGGCCGGGATGTGGCCTCACCAGACTCTGCCAAGTCGTGACCATTGAGCTGTGATGTGGGGGTAATTGCATGAGATGAGCCCGTTGGAGTCTCAGGAGAAGTGATCGGTCTGGAGCCCACAAAGGAGCTCTCAACCCAGACCAAACGTCTTGGGGAGGGAGCCCTTCCTTCTGGCCTTGGAGACCCTCTGGGAGATGCTCTCGGAGATGGGGTGGACTCATTGCAGTAATGTACAATTGCTGACGTTACCTCCTTTATGGAAGAATGGACATCTGCAACATCAGGTACTTGCAGTTTGATGCTGCCATTTGTGCTCCCTTTGTCATTCTGGTCTTCACTGTCAGGTTTTAATGGGGCTGCGACATTCGCTTCTGCTGAAGAATTCTCTTTATCCTGCGTGTTGGCTGCAGACTTGACAAATCTCTGACTATATGCTGTGATGCCAAGTGCTAATCTGTCTGCAGCAGTCAAATATGAACCAGTGTTAGTTAGTGAAGACTGGGAACCAGCCAGCGATGCTAGGGAAGTCTGCGAACGCCACCCAAGATATGGTTGGCGGGTGTACGTTGCAGTGGATTTGGTGGATGTCACAGAGCCAGTGGGTGTGGTGGTGCCAGAGTTGAGGCGAGATGTTGACCACCTAGAAATGGGATATTGGAACAGAGATCCACTACGATCACTGGGAGAAGGAGAAATAGAACAGTTAGAAGCGGGGGATGTGACACCCCCAAGTCCCGTCATGCCTCTGGAGGTCACACGGGTGGGTATGACTACTTTGGTGGGAGTGTTGGGAGTGTGTGCACGGGATGACCCTAATGATGTCATAGATGCAGTTTTAGAAGAGTATGCTGACCAGCCTCCACCAGTGGCTGATGCAGTGCTAGAACCATAGTCACGACGGCGGAGAAGGAAGCCTTGCTGTTGAGGCTGGGCATTCTTCATCCACTCAGGAACATCCAGTCGCTGGAGAGAGCGCCGTACCCGCAACTCTGCCTCTGATAGCTGCCGCTCCGACCCCTTCATCAGTTCGTTTTCAGGAGGCTGGAAAATAGCAAGAAATTAGTAACTGCTTGTAGCATTACCAGTGAGTAACATCACAGGTTCACTTACTAATGTATGATGAGATTTACAGTCAATCTAATTAATATCTTTAACTGGGTTACCAATATCAAAATCATCCTAGAATCAGTAAGATCAGAGTTGTTTAAGCATTATCATTACACTAATATCTAACATGAGAATTCCCTAGTCAATACAATATCAAGCTTCTCTACGGGACTCTGTCAGCGGAGGCTGTATAGATGCTTTCTGATAGAAATCCTGGGCAGTATTTGGAAGCTGTCTGAACTTGGCAATGCTCATGATTCATCAGACCAACACAATGAAACCTCAGTCAATAGGCAGTTGTGGTGCTGGCTTTTCAGGGTGCAAACCTCTGGTCTTCCAAATACAGCCAAGGAGGCAGAGATTCTCAATGTAGGAACCACACATCACATACACAGAAAGCCATTTCAGTAACACTGAACAAATCTCAAACTGTTACAATATAAAGTTAGGAAAACTGCAATGCCAATACAAATTGTTACTAACAGAAAAACAGCAACTAAGAAAAAAATCACAAAAATAAACCAAATGTGAAAAAAAGAGCAAAAGAAAAATAATCTTCACACCCTGTCATGTATATCAACTTCATCTAAAAGTTAGTTTGAGAAGATTCGTCAGGAAACAGGACAAGTGCTTCCTGACATGGATCTTACTCGTAAGATGACCCACAGTTGGAGTTTTTGGTCATCTGACTGAGGCCTTTAACTGGCTTACCAGTTCACCTCTTGAAAAATTAAGGTTATAATTATAACTATTAGCTTTATCTAAAAGGTGTCCCCTCCTCCCAAAGGCAAACAGACCATCAAAACATAATAACTTTTACAGGCAATTTAGCAGGTCTAGAAATGTACAAAAAAGAATTCCTCTAAGTATAATATTTTCTCCAATTATAAATTAATGTATCGATGAGCTAAATTTCATCTTCACCCTAGAATTAAATAAAAGCATCCCTCCCCCCAAAAAATAATAACAGTATTTTTAATTAAGTTATCCCTTCACTTCTCAGTTTCAAAAACACTGACTAGGGAAATAGCAAATAAAAGTTAACTCAAATATAAAAGTTGACTCAAAAGATATGTTCTCTTCATCTTGTCATTCCCTCACAAATAAAATCAAGAGAGTTGCAGTTAAGTTGGGGAGGGGGGCAGGGAGGATGGAAAGTTGAAGAGGCTGAGGTGGTTACAGCTGGGAGGGCCAGAGGTACCACATCCATGCCACTTACTGTATCCTCTAACTTATCTACTACCTCACAACCTGCCTCCAACAGCAGCTGGCACTGTAAAGATAGGAGTTTCACAGTCACCAACCACACAAGACTGCAGAGGCTGGAGAGAGGGGCTTCCACCTCCCAGCCATGGAAAGAGAGGAGAGTTTAATATTTTAAAGATTATCAGTTATATCATCAAAGTAACCACTGATTAATCTTCAAAGACAAATCAAAATTGAATTATTTTATATTCTTTGACAAAAGTTAATCAGTGATGGTATTTATGTACTATGCTACTGATCAATTTAGATAAAATTCTCTTTAAAAAAAATCAGTACCGACTTGTACAACTTAAGAGTGGCAAAAATTATTAGTCAAAGTTGATTTTACAGATTTGACAAAAAGTGTACACAAATTGATCAGTGGCCATATATAAATATAAACAAGAGTATTATGAACACAAAAGACATGCTTGCACAGATTCTATTGATCTAATTGAAGGTAAATAGTTTTATTCTATCACTATTGATGACAGCAAAATTATCGATTGCAAATATATAAAAAAGGAAAAAAAAAAAAGCCCAGGAAGTTCCAGATCATTCATGTTATTTTATAAGAGGGCTGTAACAATTACAATATTAAACTAGAAGGTTTGCCAAAGCTACGGTTACTATGTAAAAAAAAAAATAGCTAAGTTACATCGTGCGAGGGACTTCGAAAATTTACACATTACAATACTTGACAAGCATAGGATAGGAAAAACTTAAGAACATTAAGCTCTCTTATAAAGCTCCTCTGCATAGTGTGACTTTTGTGTAAATGCAAGCAAAAAAAAAAATACATATCCAAAATTAAAAAGCACATGGAAAGGCCTTCATATGTTTAATTTTGGATGATTTCTCTCTCTCAATTACATTTAAAAAAATCTCACCAAATAAAGGAGTTCCACAAGAGGGCTCATGAAATTAACCTTTCGTACTCTGCTATTTGTGATCATTATAAATTTAAGTTACATTTAGTTACTACTAATTTGTACTCACAAAACTTAAGTACCGTCTTCCATTGCTATAATAATATTCATGGGGGAAGAAGCGACATTTCATATATCTTTGATGTACAGCCTCTCCTCACTTAACAACAGAGTTCCGTTCTTAAGACCACATTGGTAAACAAATTCGTCGCTAAGTGAGGAGCATACTATAATGGTAGTGGGTTTGTGTCAACCATCTTTGATATTGTTTTCATGTCACCTTTACACCATATATTACACTTTTGGTATATTTCTAAATGTTTATACAGTAGTGTACCGTACGTATATTGTAACAGAATAAGAGGAAATCAGCTCTAATATACATTATTTAGGTATGCATACTGGTCAGAGAGCCTGTCGCAAGTCCAAGTCGTCGGTAAACAAGTACGTCACTACGCGAGGAGAGGCTGTATTTCTGAAGAGTTTCCAGAATTTTCCTACTCTTTCAACACAGTCCTGGGTCAGACTTGTCTGATGCTTGCCTAGTCAACCAGGTTGTTGTTGCTGGTAGCCCATTGGATCACAGTCTGGATGATCTGGTACTACTCTCTCATATCCAATAGAAGTAAGTCGCAGCATCGTGTATGAGGCTGGTAGCCACCGAGGACATGGCAAACCTCGAAGATGATACAAAGATTATCTTCCAGTGCACCACTGACAATACAACGCTCGACAAGGAGAAATTCCAGTTACTCCACTGTGGAAAATTGATTGAGAATAGAATGGAGTAGAAATACAAGAAATAATCTCTAAACAGAGCAGAATATTAACACGAGGGACAAACCTGATAATGCCAGAAGACCTCACATTTAACATTTTGCTGTAGGTCCCGTAATGTTACGGCTTGCAAGCCAGTGTTGGTCCCGTAATAGTACGCCAAAATTGTAGCAGCTTCAAATCTTGCAGGAGATAGCTGGTAGGCCTACATATTAGAGAATGGGTTTGAGTGGTCAGTGTGCGCAGTATAAAAAAAAAAAAATCTGCACGCAATGCACGAGAAAAAAAAAAGTGTTTTTGGCTCAAAACAGTGGCTTTGAGGTGTATTTTCGTTTGGTATCTGATTGTATTCTCGTTTTCTTGGTCTCATTTGATAAAATGGAAGACATATTACAGAAACTGATATGATATTGAATGGTTTATTGAATAAAAGTACCTTGAAATTGAGCTCAAAGCAGCGGAAATGTTCGATTTTTGCGGATGTTTACTCTTAAACAAATTACGTTATGCGTCCAATACACATCAACTGGTGGGTCTAATGTGTTTTCACAAATGTGCTGCTATTATTAATACCATTTTTACAATAATGTAGTCTACATAACAGTAAATCTTATAATTTTTGTGTGAATAAAAATTCAAAATGGAAAGTAAGCGTAATATAAGAGGGGGCAGGAGACAAAACATGACTGTTGAACAGAGAAAATGTTATTTCAGTGCTAGAAATGTTTGCATTGTTATTTCTGGACCCTATTTTGAAATTGGTCTTCCTTGAATTTTGTATGAAATTTATTAATTACCAATTTCTGATCCTTTTATTGGATAGTTGAAATAGGTAAATAGGCATTATGTTCTCAATCGATAGAATAGTAGTAGTTCTAACGAAATAACCGAGTTTTGTCGACTGCAACAGTGGAATTGGTCAAAAATTGGGCTCAAAGTAAGCAAAATCACCGATGCATAAATATTGGCAAGATAGCCAACTTTGCGAAAGCGTAATTCCATGAGTTTTCCATCAAATTTTGTACTTTTGGTTTCATTACCATCGGAAAAAGATTCTCTATCATTCCATAAGAATTTTTTCTTTTAAATTCTTCAACACTGAGAACAAGTTTGCAAGTGAAAGTGTTAACTATCACAATGTTATGATGATAATTTAGTATTTATTTCTACAAGTACATGTACATGTACAAGGTATACAGGTCTAGCTGACATCAGTGACATACTACTAAACAGAAAGCTCCTTATTATACATAGCATTTCGGGCAAATCAGGTCAGTTTTGTCCCAAAATGCAACCCACACCAGTTGGCTAATACAGTGGACCCCCGGTTAACGATATTTTTTCACTCCAGAAGTATGTTCAGGTGCCAGTACTGACCGAATTTGTTCCCATAAGGAATATTGTGAAGTAGATTAGTCCATTTCAGACCCCCAAACATACACGTACAAACGCACTTACATAAATACACTTACATAATTGGTCGCATTCGGAGGTAATCGTTATGCGGGGGTCCACTGTACCTAGATACCTACGTCTACCACTTGAACAGGAAACATGTCCTATTTTTCACCCGTACCGGTCACATTCCCTTTATGCTGGAATATTGCTGCACACTAACAGCTCCTTTTAAGGCAGATAGAATTTCAAATTTGAAGAAAATACAGAGAAGAGAACTTGAACTGCATGTACAACTTGAGTCAAGCACTTAAATTCCCTGTAACTGTATTCCTTTGAACATAAGACAGATGGATCATAATTTATACTTGGAAAATCCTGGAGAGATTGGTGCCAAATCTTCACACCGAAATCACTCCTTACAAAAGCAACTGCAACATCTTGCCACTCCTTCCACTAGCTCTACTAGGCAAGTCCCTCCACACAACTCTGCATTTAACAGGTAAAATCTGTATGGTAAAATGTTTTAACATGTCCGAATTATACTAGTGATCTAAGGAATTTTCTGTAGCTACGAGGGAACTTTTACACCAATACTATGTACTGTAACTGTCTTGTGTGGGACCATCAAAAGCCTTACTGAAATCTAAATGAACTTTGCCTTTTTTTAACATTGTCTATCACAAGTGCTTCAACGAAGGTCAAGAATCCTGTAAATAATTTGTTGCAGCCTGAGGACTTCTGTTTTAATGTGTCTGAAAACATGTCCCTTCTGCCTTCAATGATAAAAAAAAAAATTCTGCAGACACCTGAACATTCTGACTTTAAATACCTCGTCTTTCGTAGGCTCGGCTGTCGACATATCCACTCCTGACTAATAAATGCATTTACTTCATCCTCCCTCCAATTTGATCTCCAGTCTTTCATTGACTATATTTTTTCCTTATTCTCATCACCTTCATCCTTTCACTTTACATTTCTTATACATATCCTCTCAAACATCTCTCCTCCAAGCGTTGCAACTCCTGTTTTGAAATTCCTCAAGGTACTGTGTCAACATCAAAGAGCACACAACACACGATGTATATGGCATGCTGGCAAGGCTCTGCATGACGAGGGGGATTCCTATGCAGTAGTTTATACATGTCAATTACACCCATGTCAGTTGTATACTGTACTTCACTTTATAGAAATATCTTGAGTATCTTTGTGATGTTTCTCCTACCAGGAGCTTTTATCAATCTAGCAGAAATTGAAAAAGGAAAGTTAGGGTAACAGGTCTCCTTTCTCTAGTCTGTATTAGATTGAAAGTCACTGGTGAGCAAAACATCTCTCACATCAACATACCCAGGTGTTGTACGTTTCTTATTAACTTGCAGAATTATATACCCTTCAACTAATTGTATATTAATGTATACAAATCTAACAAGCAGATGACAGACATTTGTGCAACACTTGGCTGTCTTTATTGTGGAGAAGTTTCGCCAACCAGTGCCCGAAATGCCCCGGCATGATAGTGGCTTCCTTTGTACTTAAACCAAAATTGTAATTACACATTGTAACCTTTGCAAAGAATTAAAAATCTCTATTCTTTAATAGAGAGAAAATAATGGTGACGACTCTGGAAGACAGGAATCAGTTAGAAACTATCTGTCCCTCAGATCCAGTTTTCATCGTGGAATCTATGCCCAGAGAATATATTGGATTTTTTTTTTAATAGCATACAGCCTTAGTCAACAATGGAAGCACCTACAATACTGACCACCACTACTCCACTGTACATTTAACCTGACCATTACTTCCACCACCAGCAAATTACTTCTTGATAGCAAGTTACACTACTTCCACTTTTCTCGTATATTGACCCACAAAGCAAAGCAGACCATCAGAGGACCTCCTGAGTCACCCAGGTGCTGAGGATGCGACCCCCCAGCGCCGAAGGTGTGAGGGTGTTCCGCGGGGCAACGCCCCTGGGGCCCGGTCCATGACCAGGCCAAGTTTTTGAAAACTGAAGTACCAGCGAGAATACCAGCCCTTAGACAAAGGATGCAAACCTGACTCCCGCTACCTGTTACTCTTTGCAACAGACTGAAGACAACAAGACCAGATGACTACGTGATGCGCCTCCACCACACGGCCTGTGTGATGATTGTAACTGCTCGTACACTGTGTTGAAGACGACACACCAGGCCCTTGCCATAGGGCAGTAAACAGCATCCTAGTTGAAATGAAGACCCCAATGGCCATTTGCCATAGAGCTGCCCCCGCCCCCAAAGCAGTAAACGGCACCCTGCTGGAACCAGAGATTCAGAGTGCCACACAGCTGTTAACAGTACCCCACTAACTCCTTAGGGTGCCAATCACTTGGAACCATCTGAAAGAGACCCATGGCAGGACTAGTTGCTGATGAATATATTACCATGTCTGCCAGATGAAGTTCCTGCTGGACGAAATTTTCTCTTAAGATACCCAAGTGTTGTACAAGTCTCTTATTCATCTTAAGAGCAACAGTAACAACTCCCACATCATACCTGATTCATTATCATAAGTTACACTTCTCCAAGTCTGTCAGTTATTCTACTCCCAGAGCCTGGCCAAACGCCGAACTCGGGAGTAGAAAAACTCGAAATTCAAAGGTGTCTACGTTCTTCCTAAGTTCCTTCTGTCCGAATTATTGAGAAAACGACAGGAAAAAATCGATCAGACGAGAGGGAAAGAGAACCTAACAAACCCAGCCTATAGGCTGGGTTTAAGTTAAATGGTTAGGCTCTATGTTGATTTTTTTTTCTAGGTTCTCTGGTCTGATCGATTTTTTAAGCTAAACTAACCTACATAATTCCACTACTACTACTACCATGGAACTGCGCTTGTTGATGTGCTCATGTCTGAAAACTTCTTCATAATGGCGCATCAGCTCGTCCACAGATATGTCCTCCCACTGAAACATGGTTTCCGGGTTCATTCTGGTGTCCCAACAGTCGGAAACCTGCGCTGCGGAGAAGCAACAGCAGCACCACTTAAAATTCACTTTAAGAGAACACTAACCAAAATTCCTTCAAGTCATTCCACTGGTTTCAAAAGTATGTGGGAAAAAATGCTGACCAGCTGGAGTGAATAACTCGAGTCCGTCTGTTATTGGACGCCTACGTGAATTGTGTAATCAGTTCTGGAATTAAGAAAACAAAAAAGTGCACAAAATTTAGATTAGTTTTACGCGTAGGACCACATTACTACACAGGACTGTACATCACTGTTCAACTGCCTTCCAGTATACATAAGGGGGATTACTAATAGACCCCTGGCTGTCTTCAAGCTGGCATTGGACAAGCACCTAAAGTCGGTACCTGACCAGCCGGGTTGTGGCTCGTACGATGGATTGCGTGCAGCCAGCAGTAACAGCCTGGTTGATCAGGCTCTGATCCACCATGAGGCCTGCTCACAGACCGGGCCGCGGGGGCGTTGACCCCCAGAACTCTCTCCAGGTAAACTTAACGGGCGTCTATGTTACAAGAATACACGGGCGTGAACGCCACCCCCACACGGGCGTGAACGCCACCCCCACACGGGCGTGAACGCCACCCCCGCACGGGCGTGTATGCCGTGTAGGAGACAATTGGGGCCCTGTTTTCAATACCAATACTTGGAAATAACTTTTTTCAGAGTTCACAAACTAGTCACGAGTGAGAAATAGACTTCTCAAACATCAGGTCGTATCGTTAAGAACTTTCACGGTGTATATCATAAATATCCTTCCAGAGATGTACAGAGACGTTGAGAGAGAAGTGTGCGCGCGCGACTGTAGGAACTATCACTGACACACCATGTCTGGCGTCTATCTGCTACAGTTGTCACCACCACAATCAACCACCACCATCTACTAACCATCACTAACCACCACCATCAACTCCATCTACTAACCATCACTAACCACCACCATCAACTTACCATCACCACTAATTACTAACAACCACCACTAAACCACTAATTACTAACAACCACCACTAAACCACCAACAACTAACCACCACCACTAATCACTAACAACCGCCACTAATCATTTAAGCAGCTGGATTCACTAAGAGCCTGGCGTCAATGGGAACCGCCACACTGGCTGCGTCACACACCCCCACAGAACTGGCAAGACTCGAACCCGCGGCAGGAAAGTCCTAAAATACAACGTCACCGTAGCAAATATATTTAATTACACAAAACCATTAATTACCTAAACGAAAACGGCCTTCTTAATGGCCCCAGAGAGTAATCGCCATTAAATATTATGGACCAATTAGGGCATTAAAAAAACTAGAAAAAAATCTTAAATATTCTGTACAATTTAAACTGTAGTTGTCAAAGGCACTTGTTGATAAACACTTGGATTATGGTCCTTGCGAGTTTAGCGCTTAGTTTTGACTAGTAATTTTACATTTCAAAGTTTATTACAAGTTTTATTTCTAAGGTGCAAAGAAATATTATACCGATAAGTTAAAGATTTACTGCAGTTCATGAAGGAAATATACCTTTGATATACCTCTGGTGAGTTTCTAGTCTCTCCTACTCCCGAAGCCCGGTCATGGGCCAGGCTCGTCTGGAGGAAGGTGTTTGTAGGGGTAGTGGTGGTGGCAACAGTGCCAGCATGTAAAGTCTTGGCAACACTGTCAGTATCATATCTCTTTATCGTCCCGACCTCAAATTCTCTGCACCCCTCCCCTCTAAGCTCCCCCTCCCTGCTGACACAATGCCTGACTACTGAGGGGGGGGGGCGACAGAAGGCCTAGTTTGGAACCGAGGCAGGAGGCCTAGTCTGGGACCGAAACAGGGGAGAGGCCTCGTCTTGGACCGAGGCAGGCAGGGAGGGGGGGGGGCAGGAGGCCTAGTCTGGGACCGGGGGCAGCAACCTCACACACATTCAACACTTGCAACACACGGGTATCAGAGTGTTGCACAAGAGTTGCAACACTTGCCGGGTTGAAATATAAATCATCTTCAGCGGGTGACAGTGGACCGTTAGAACAATTTATATTTAGAAATTTTGAAAAGCCACTAATGTGAGGCGTGTTAGATACATACGTGGGAAGTACTGGGTGAGGAGAACCTGCCTAACATGGACCAGTAGAGCCTGCCTAGCATGGGCCAACAGAGCCCAGCACGGACCAGTAGAACCCAGCACGGACCAGTAGAACCCAACACGGACCAGTAGAACCCAACACGGACCAGTAGAACCCAACACGAACCAGTAGAACCCAACACGGACCAGCTAGGTGGTTTATGGCATGTGCCAGCACCAGTTACCCTATAAACTGATTCTCTTCAGTTCTCTCAACTTAGTGAATATTAATACTCTGGGACAAAATAAGAGAAAATAGTGTAGTGTCAGGAGCTGTAGGCATTTTAAACTGCCAGGGGTGTTGTATATTTATAAGAACATAAGAAACACTGCAGAATGCCTATGGGCCCAAGCTAGGCAGGCCAAGTCACCTACTGGCCCAGGCTAGGCAGGCCAAGTCACCTACTGGCCCAGGCTAGGCAGGCCAAGTCACCTACTGGCCCAGGCTAGGCAGGCCAACAGTCACCTACGGCCCAGGCTAGAGGGCAGGCCAAGTCACCTACTGGCCCAGGCTAGGCAGGCCAAGTCACCTACTGGCCCAGGCTACCGGCCGAAGCCAGTCAGGTCCAAATCACATCGACTTAAGGATGGAGCCCCAACACATTAGACCCACTAATATCATAAGTGATATTTTTCCATGGGAGGTCTAAGAGAAGCTGGACTAATTTTGTAGCTGTAGTGAAGAGTGGGTCAGTAAAAAAAATGACCAGTATTGGAAGAGCATCGGCCGTCTCCCACCGAAGCAATGACCAGAAAAAAAGAAACAGGAGAAATATCAGAGCTGGAACAAATACAGAGATCGTTTACGGCACATATTGAGCCAGTAAAGCACTTAAATTACTGGGAACGCCTTAAAGTCTTGAACATGTACTCACTGGAGCGGAGGAGACAGATACACATGCTTATATATACCTGGGAAGTACTCGAGGGTCTGGTCCCAAATCTGCACACTGCGTAACATACTGGAGTGAGAGATTTGAGAGGAAGTGTAAAATAAACCCAGTGAGGAGCAGGGTTGCGGTGGGCACAATGGAACACTAACATCCTTGGCCCCAGACTAACATCTTACCAGAAGATATCAGAAACACGGCTAGAACAAGTGTAGAAGCCTTCAAGAGGAAACTGGACAAGTATCTTCAAGTGCCAGATCACCCAGTGAGGTGATCTGGGGCAGAGGGCGTCCAGCACCAACATCCTGGCGCATGGCCGAGCCTGGCTCATGGCCGGGCTCAGAATAACTGGACTAGAAACTCAAAGGTATATCAAAGGTAGATATACCATCACTCCACTGTCTTGCCGGAGGCCTGTCGATCCTACAGGTAGAAAACTGCCAGTGTGAAGCGGGCGAGGGGTGGGGGCTAGTAGGCTTAAGTGTGACCAACAGCCTGCCTGTGCGGTGTATAAGTACACGTACAGTGTTTCCAATATGGTGCACTGAAAGGTCCCCCAGGGTAAGTGTATAACAGTGATGCCACACAGACAGAATATTCCAGAGATGGGACACAGAAACAAGAGGTCACAATTGGAAGTAGAAGACTTAGATGAGTCAAAGGGAAGTAAAGAAGTATTTCTTCAGAGCTGTCAGGCAACGGAACAGCCTAGAAAGTGACGTTGTGGAGGCAGGAACCATACATAGTTTTAAGATGAGGTTTGATAAAGCTCATGGAGCAGGGAGAGAGAGGACCTAGTAGCAATCAGTGAAGAGGTGGGGCCAGGAGTTATGAATCGACCCCTGCAACCACAAATAGGCGACTACAGTGTATGGTATTGAGGAAATACGAGAACGTAAGTGAAGTACCCTCCCTTCCCCCCCCGTGTGTGTGTGTGTGTGTGTGTGTGTGTGTGTGTGTGTGTGTAGTAACAGTACTATAGTCGTTGTAGTAACAGTACTATAGTTGTTGTAACTACTATGGTCGTAGTAGTATAGTCGTACTGAAACTACGAGAAGTCATAGGTCAGAGGTTCTCCATAAACAGAGTTGCAGCTTTCACAAACCCTTTTAGTAAACAGTAATATCTGGTCTGATCAGCTTTATGACCCACAACAATTAGGTTTTTCAAGCGTAGGCCTACCGCCGTGTTCTCTGAACCTTTCCTTCTTACTAACCAGTCTTCCCACCAGCCTAGTTGAACCAGGCAAACACCAGACAAGCCTGGACCAGAACCGGGCTGCGAGAGTAGGAAAAAAATATCAAAACCCTTCCAAGGTGCACCACAAAGGTTGTTAGGTAAGACACATATGCAACAGTTAGGTATCTTTATTATGAAACGTTTCGCCTACACAGTAGGCTTCTTCAGTCGAGTACAGAAAAGTTGATAGAAGCAGAAGATACTTGAAGACGATGTAATCAGTCCATCACCCTTAAAGTTTTGAGGTGGTGTTGGACTGATTACATCGTCTTCAAGTATCTTCTGCTTCTATCAACTTTTCTGTACTCGACTGAAGAAGCCTACTGTGTAGGCGAAACGTTTCATAATAAAGATACCTAACTGTTGCATGTGTGTCTTACCTAACAACCTGTCGGTATTTTATACCATTTTAATGTTCACCACAAAGGTACACCACAAAGGCGTTTCAAAGGTCACAGTGGGATTAGTCAGCCACGCTGAGAGTGCCAACACCAGGTCAGTTTACAAGTCCGGCCCAAGCACTGTAAAATGATAAGCAGATAAAACCAGCAATAGATCATAGGTATGCATCACAATTATAAAATAGACAGTATCGAGTAGTTGATCAAGATGTCTGTACAAGTTGTATTATGTACGTGTGGAAATTATTATTAAACTATATCACGGGCGGGGATAGAACCCGCGATCAGTCATAAAATTATTAAGACGCATGGCCAATACTTGGGTAACTTCATTTCGCTTGTGAAGCAGTCTTCTTCAGTCGAGTACACGCGAATATAAACACTGGAGAGTGGAATTAATTTTGAGGTGACCAGTCCCTCAAAGATCTGGAGGGGCTGACTACTGTCTACTAAGACTGATCACCTCAGTGGCTTCTACTGTCTCCAGTGTTATATTCACCTGTATTCCACTGAAGAAGCCAGATGTGTAGGCCAAACATAACAGTAATAAATATAGTCAAGTGTCGGGGATGTGTTTTAATACTCTAGTTAGTGAATAAAGTATATACAATGTCTGGGTAACTTTCAGAGAAGTTTTGCCCACCAGGGGTTTATGTCAATCTAATACCTGAAGTATACCTGGAGAGGGTTTCGGGGGTCAACGCCCCCACGACCCGGTCTGTGACTAGACCTCATATTGGATCATGGCCTGGTCAACCAGGCTGTTACTGTCGGCTGCATGTAAACCGACGTACGAACCACAGCACGGCTGATCAGGTACTAACTTTAGGTGCCTGTCCAGCGCCTTGAAGACAGCCAGGGGCAGGAACATGACAAGAGGATCTTTTTATAAGGGTGGAAGCGAGCTGGGAGAAATGTCAAGATACAGGGGTGACCATGTGTGGGTCTAGTTCACTAGTGGAAGTAGGACAGGTTGGAGGTGCAAGAAAGTAATAGTAGTGGGTGGTGGTTAATACTGCAAGACGTTGTGACCAGTACAGCGCAGGCTTCCCTTCCTTTCCCGTGCATGTTCTATACCGAGGCTGAGGAATTGAACACATCTCTGGTCTGAGGGACTGATGCTTTTAAGTTCCATCTTCACGTAGTATCTAACTGCATACAGTAACCAAGTTGAATAAAACTTGTGTACA